TAGCGAAAATGCCTCGTAAGGAATTAACTAATGAGAAATAATCAAGAGCATTTATCAAGACAAGAATTTTCGAGATAAAAGTTGCAAATGTGTCTGCTTACACAATCCCTTAGATTTCAATTGTTACAATCATGTTCCGTTGCTAATTGCAGATTTTATAAGATGTTATAAAGTAAGAATAAGAACTTTATCACATTCATGTTAAGAGAGAGATTCGTATTAATACTTCACATTTTTTTGAAATTTAAATTACCGTTTCAGCCAAGTTGCTATGGAGTGAGTTCAGCTCTAGTTGAACCAAGTACAATTGCAGAGGAAAGATGGGTGCTTCTTCAAAGTGTGGTTAGAGGTATTTACACAATTTTTCTTTGATAGTATATCTTTTAACGTTACAACATGTACATGTATGTAAGAAGCCTTTGGATGATATTTAAGAAAAAAGATCTTGCGGCTTCCACATATTTTTCTGGCGGCTGAAATAAATTGCCCTCTCCAGATAAATTCCTAGCTTCTGTCATTGAAATACCTCGTAGCCTCCAGATAAAATAAAAGTTGGTTTACAGTAATTAGTATTGGATAGATACACCTTTGGTAAAAATATAAAGCTTGTTCTAGACTGCGCTTTATATTTTCTGGAAGAAAAACTGCTTGAAAATAAGCAGTTTTATACAAAATATGCTAAAATGGCGGGAAAACGTGAATTTTATGATGTCATATTTCTAAAATAACGGCATTTTGATCCAAATGAAAGTTACCAATAAAGGTCGCATATATAGCTGTACAAATTAAAGCTATATATATAAAGTAAAATTAAGATATTCATTCTAAGGGGCCAATTGATACACTTACCATATATCGCTCTTTGTATGCTTGCATGAAAATATGTGGTAGGACCTAAAGTGTTCTAGCCTTGTTATAATATGGATGTATGTACATGTTTTACTTTATCATTTTTATGTAGAAATATTCTTCTCAATTTTTTTTTCTAGTTTTCTAAATACTTAATTAAAACTTCTTTGTCCAAAGAAGTAAGTGATCATTTATGTTCCGCTTTTGATTTGTCTTGGTGAAGCTTTATGCTTTTCAAGATGAAGCTTACTGCATAATATGTCTTGACAAGAATATGGAAAATGACAGTGCTGAATTATTCATTTGTAATGCAAAACTATGAAACAAAATTATGTCATTTGAATTGATTAAAACATGTTGAAAAAAAATTAACGTGTACTTAAATTTATGTCCCTCTATTGATCTTGAAATGGCAATATAAGATGCACTGATCCATTTGTGGTAATGATACAAACAAATGAAAGGATGTAATTCAGATAAGTAGATTAAATTTTAAATCTTTCAATGTACAGAACTACCTCAAATGTCAACATTACCGCTACATCGCCAAAACTTTCAACCTCCACATTTTAACAAGCATTGTGTTTTATTTCAGGCATTAAAAACATATGGATAGGTGTCACAGATCTGCATGAGAACGATAATTTCGTTTATATTTCTAACGGAAACAGTGTTCAGGAAGCCTACAACCACTGGGATAAAGGCCAGCCTGACAAGAACACGGAACATTGTGTTTCTCTCGTTGCTGGATACAAAGGATGGCATGATTATCCTTGTGGAGATAAGTTTCATTTTGTGTGCAAAAAACCAAAAAATTAGTTGTAACCTTCTTTATCAACATCAACTAGATTGAAATGCTATGGAAGAAAAGAAATAAATAATCAATCTTTACATGCTGTTATTTTTATATACAGGTCTGATAATATTTGGGGATTCGGAATTTACAAAGAAGAAGAAAAGATAATTTGGTTTCAGTACTTTTTTTCAAACAAGCATATTACTGTGTTTGCTCTGCTCCTATTTTGTATCGTTTTATGGACTTGATATTGAATACCGTTCGTTATCTTCATATCAGTCCTCATCTTACTTAAAAAAGATGTATGAACAATTTTCGCAGTAAGCGGCATCTGTAGAGATTAAAAGTCCTCTTTAAACTGCACAAGGTATCTGATAACTTGCATATAGTTGTAGGGAAAATGAAAGGGAAAATATTATCCTGGGAAATATATTCACTATATTAAATTCATCACTATTAATAAAAAATTAAATTCTAAATGACAAATGATCGTACATCCATGTGAAGATTTTTTCAGTCATGATTCTTTCACGTAATGCTATCATTACCATAACCGGGTCATCCAGATTATTGACTCCAGTCTAAAATAAACCTTTCTATACCTCCACTACTGAACTTTGAGGATGACAGATTCCTGAATGACATTGTGTCGAACTAATCTGAGAGCTGTGGCTATGCCAGTAAGGAAACGCACCATGCGGAGTAAATCTTCAATATCGGAGGGTCCTTCCAGACCAGGCTCCGAGACCATAAACTGAGAATAGACTTAAGTCAAAATTTCATATCAGTGTAACTTTAAAAAAAAATTCAAAATGAAACAAAATTTTCAAGGTATATTCAAATATCTAACAAACTTGAAAAGTTTTAAGGCATGTCCTTTTAATAATTATTGAAATATTCAAAATCTGAATTTTGACTTAAGTCTATTCTAAGTTTTATGGTCTTGGAGCCTAAGCAGCTGCTCACATGTGTAAGGGAGTGACTCTGATTTCTCAACCTGTATAAAATGCATGCAAAGACAGACACAATCCGGTTTCCAACTTTTTTCATATTAAACAATCGTTTATTGATATTTATGATTACGATAAAAAATTTCACACAACATACATTCTTAACATTGAAATAAACGATACTACTTATAATGCAATATATTTTAACGTGTAATTAAATACAGGAGTAAAAACTGCATGTTCGAGCAACCCTTGTCAAAATGCAGTCAGATGTGTTAATTCTCCCTTCCGATCAAAGCCATACAGATGTTTGTTTCAAACAGGGTACCCCGGACTAAACTGTGAAGGTTAAAAATTTCTCAAGCACATTTTTGTGGTTTCATCGATTTTCATAGACTTAATCTTGTAAATGATGGCCAAAGATGTGTTGATACCAGAACAGTTGTCTCGTCTAGTTCTATCTGCTCGTTGAAATAACCTTGTCAGGAAATACAACTCTTAATTGGGGCGTTTGTTTCAAACGCTTGTCATATACAGAATTTGATTAAGGAATATTCCGTCTACCTAGTCAACAGGGAATGCTTACTCCCCCTAGGCTTCTAATTCTACTAACGGGATTTCCAGGTGTCTGTGTTATACCCCTCTTCATAAATAGATCGTGCCTGATATGTCTCAATAGCATCTTTCTTCCATGAATAGGTCCAACCTGAAATGTGCCACTGATATCTTTTATGAATATGTCATACCTGAAATGGGTCATTGATTTCTATCGCTTATGTAAATCTAAACCTAAAACGTGTCAATGATACCCATCCTTTATGATTGATAGGTTTAATTTTTTTTTTAAATTTTAATAATTTTTTTTTTTTTTTTTTTTTTTTGCAATCAAGTAAAGTTGTTACTTTACATGTATACCGGTAAATTGCTTCAATTTTTGATCATGTCCTTTACTCATCACTCTAGGCTATCAATGAACAGTGAGAGACCTTTATCATGCTAACTCCTGCAGTTACACGGGGCTTCTGTTTTTTGAAATCTCATTAGACGGACCACAACTTTTATTTCTAAGTTAAAAACGCTTGACGAAGGAACAGGTGCTACCTATTTTTATCGACTTAGGTCAGTTGCGGCCGAGATTCAAAATCACGACCTTCCCATCACGGAACGAGTGCACTGTCGACTGAGCTATACTGTTACGATTATCCCTTATGAATTCGTTGTTTAAAAATTGTCAACCTCATGATTAGATCATCCCTAAAATGTGTCATTTAGATTAAATACCTAACTTAAAGGTACATATATTATGAGTCAAGTTCATGTGTTTCTTTTGAGACATTTGCACCATACTGTGAAGATTTATGAAAAGAATGAGTTAAGCGAAGATAAAACAACTAAACTGTACTGTAAAGCAAGAAAGGGCTGCACAATATAAGTGCCAAGAAAACAAAGGTTGTACCGTTTTGTTGTTTGTGTGTAAGTCAAGATAACGCCACTTATTTTTTAGCTCGAACTTGTAAACAACAGTCAACTGGGTCATGCAAAGCAGAGAAATGTGTTCTAATTACTTTTTAAAAAGATCATATAAAAGTTTTATGTCAACCTACTTTCAGTCTTTGGTACTTGAGATTATAGTAACCATGGTAACTTTTTCAATTTTTCTGCGCATGCATACAATATGGAGGACGAAGTAATATGATATTTTCGACCTGGGAAAAACTGAAATATTTTTACTTTCATGTTAGCCATAAAAGTAGATTTGATTTCTGACACCTGTTATTCTCTGAAATCTAATACTTTTAGGAATTGAACAAAATCTATAGAGGTCATAGATTGAAGTTTTATAGAATAAACAACGATTATAATCATGGAATTAAAAAAAAAATTCCTGTTTCTTTTTTTTGCATAAAAAATTGAAATGAAAATAAAACAAGATATTATACAAAGTTCTTCAAAACATGAGGGACCCAAAATTCCCGGATGACCGTGAAAACCAGTATATATACATGTACATGTATTATTTCGTTTTCATCCAGGGACACACACCTTCCATAGGGACGGGTCCATCAGCTGCTTTCGAGGGTCATTTTTATTTCTATTTCGAGGCAACTAATCGTACAGAGGGAGAGCGCTATGGTTTTAATGACACACACAATATCAAAAATGATTACCGTAAATATCCGTTTGGATCCGGAAAACTCACGTAAGTCCTGTTTTTTTTATCCTCTCTACAGCTTGTTCCAGCTGCTTTTTCGAGGGGTCATTTTTATGTTCAAGGAGTTAATTGAATGGTTTTCGAGGCAACTAATCACACTTATGCCTCATCCATGTGTGAAATATTAAAAGAAAAAAAAATTGTACAGAGGGAGAGTTCACAACTTTTCCACTAGTAATAATAATAAATCCCGTAATGTGAAATGCCTTTCCGCAGCTTGTTCTTGTTGCTTTACCCACTAGAGAAAACATGAGAACTGAGTTGAGTGAAAACATGTCATTTATTAACTAGATAAATGACGCAAGTGAACAAAAGCACATAAATATACAATATTACATATAATCTTATAAATTATAGCTGGGATAAGGACAAATAATGAATAGTTTCAACTTAGATATAATATATTGCGACTTATTGCTTATCCCAGCTATTGTTATATAATGATGACCAAGTTTGTGTAACAAGAAGGTGGCGTAAAACAAGAGGCCACAAGGCATGTTATATGCTAATTTTTGTACAATAAAGAAAAATCTATATCACAAAAATTGAAACAATTAGAATTTTCCATTTCAAATGATGTTAAAAATTGGGAGGAGGAGGGGAGGTGGCGGAAATTTAATCACAACCTCGTGTTTCCACAGTCAAATATAATGGCCGATCACGCTGAACCCGATCTTAACAGGAGTTCGATCCCGATGTCAAAACAATAAGTCGAGAACAACTGTAATTTCATCTTTGTCAAACAATGTAAAAAAGATTGCATATAAAATATTTTATGGAACATAAAATTTTATTTATATTCACAACTTTTCCACTAGTAATAATAAATCCCGTAATGTGAAATGCCTTTCCGCAGCTTGTTCTTGTTGCTTTACCCACTAGAGAAAACATGAGAACTGAGTTGAGTGAAAACATGTCATTTATTAACTAGATAAATGACGCAAGTGAACAAAAGCACATAAATATACAATATTACATATAATCTTATAAATTATAGCTGGGATAAGGACAAATAATGAATAGTTTCAACTTAGATATAATATATTGCGACTTATTGCTTATCCCAGCTATTGTTATATAATGATGACCAAGTTTGTGTAACAAGAAGGTGGCGTAAAACAAGAGGCCACACAGCATGCCTAATGCTTGCATGAGGCATGCCGCGCCACCCAAGGAAAGGGCATTTCATAATTTTGTTATAGATTGAAAAAACATGTACCTGCATGGACTTACTTAACCCAAGCATAAGACCATATTTAACATAATCATAAAGTTATATCTATAAGAGTAACATATTTAAAAGCAAAGTTTGCCAATTATATGAATGAAACAAAGTTAAATTAGAAAAAGAAGGAGCAACTGCTGCCTCGTGAACAATATTTAAAAACAAAACTCAGTCTCATGACTGATTTTTACAATCATTTTTACAACCAGGCTGACTTTATGTATAAGTTTCAAACAAAAACCTTGCTAAGCTCCAACTACCATGTACAGTTTTTTATAACCAACCATATGCTTATCTCATACACAAATTTATGCAAAAAAAAACTTCTGCTGAGCTTGTAATTTTACTATAAATACATGCTGATCTCCAAATACAAGTCTCACGTACCCGTTCGAGGCTGAAATACCAGTTCACTTTATACAGTTTCTTTGTGGGCAATCGTACGCTGTCTCCATGTATATTAGCTCGCAATTTCGCTGACTTCACGCACAGTCTCAACACCCAATTTAAGGCTGAATTACAATTTCCATAAGCTATATGAGCAACCGTATGCTGACCTCCTGTAGATAGCTTGTACTTTGGGGGCAAAATTGGGGGGTAAATTGTGATCTCGTAAATGAGCTAACACTTTTCAAAATAATACCTGCCAAATTTCTAACCGAATTACTGTTTTATATAGGCAACCATATGCTGACCTTAGTAATTCCAAATTTTAAAATTTTGTAATCTGTCTGAGCAACCATAGTCTGACCTCGTAATTAATTTATATGCTTAATTTTGGACTTGACGCTAAAAATTTTTAATCAGATCCTATTTACGTTCTGAAGAGAAAAAACCACATGCTAACTTCTCTTTTGATAGTCGGTGGCAGTACCTGTATGAGGGGATCATTTAGTTTGAAATTCTCATAAAGGGTTGAAATTTAGAACTTGAAAGCATTTATTCTAATGTAACGTCTGCTTGCATTTGAGTGCCAACGACCCAGTTGTTGAATTACATTTTCAGATAAACCGTTCTTAGCTGCCTCTGTGGCAGCACCAATGCGAAAACTATGACCGAGGTAAAGTGATGAATTCAAACCAATAAAATTTATGGCATGTTTCAAATGAGATGTCACAAAGTTGTGCGGAACTGGTTCGCCAGATTTAAATGTGAATAAAGGACCTGATGTGTGTTTATGTTCAGCAATGTATGCTTTTAAGGCATGAACTGGACAGAATTGACATTTTAAATTATTAGCTGTCAGAGTAATTATTATTGGCTGCCTATCATTCATAGTTTTTGAATACCTGAGTGTGATCTGAACTGAATTATCGTCATTGAACATTATGTCTTGTCTTTGAATTACTTTTGAGTTAAATGTTTTGTTTCTAGGAACAAGTTCACCTAACCGCATAAAGGCATGAAAGGCAAGAAGGAAAATTGCTGACAGCAGAGTTCTTGAGTCTGCTTCTTGAACAGTGTGATCTAAGGCAGATAATAATTTGATAAGAATGGGTTTTGTAATTGGAAGTCTAGTGTCAACAGTTCTTGCTAGGTTTTGGGCTCCTTTGATAACTTTTCTCACTATAAAAGAGTGGGTAGGGTCATGAAAGTCAAAAATCTTATGAACGAAACTAATTGCCGAAACATGTGAAGTGATGGTGGATGGGCTTAAACCCTCAGTGAATAATTCACCAATAAAATTGCAAATAATTCCTTCTGCAAATGGGAGAGAAAAGGGTATACTATGAGTGTCACAAAATTTCTTTAACAAATTCCAACTTCGAAGGTATAACTGCTTAGACGATAAAGACAGTGATGCCTGAAGTAACTGCCGACTTGGTTGGCTTAGATGTAAATCAAATGTTCTGGTACTGCTGTTGGCTTGAGGTCCAACCAAGGGGCAAATTTCTTGGCTTCCTGGAATTTAAAGCGGGAAAGGTAATCTGCAAGTACATTGTGTTTCCCTGGAATGTGTTTTGCTTTAAATAGTATGTTATATTTCATTGCTGCAACAACTAATCGGCGTACAAGTTTCATCAATATTTTGTCTCTGCATGACTGTTTATTAATAACCTCAACAACTGCTATATTATCAGTGAAAAAGAGAATTTTTTGATCGCTTAAATAAGGTCCCCAAATTTCTACCAACAGAACGATAGGAAACAGCTCTTTAACAGAAATGTGATAATCTGTATGAATATCTAGCCAAGCTTGTGCAAACCATTTTGAACCATATACAGCTGCATAACCCAAGGCACCAGATGCATCTGTATATATATGTAACTTCTGTGAAGACAACCACTCATCCTGATGAAATATTGACTTGCCGTTGAAATGATTGATAAAAAGTTGCCATGCTTTAATGTCCGCACGTTCGTCAGTAGTTAACTTTATATAATGATTTGGTTTGGACACACGACGAGTCAGATCTATTAACCGTCTCAAAAATGCACGACCAGGTGTGACTACTTGACAGGCAAAACTGAGAACACCTATCAAAGACTGCAACTCTCTTAACTGAATTTTTTTTTCTATGGACTGTCTTTTCCAACAATTGTCTCATATTAGTGAGTTTGTCTTCTGGGAGTCTACTTTGCATGAGAACAGAATCTACCTCAATTCCATAAATGGTTAAACAAGTTGTTGGTAATACAGTTTTGGATTCTTTAAGAGGGACTCCTACTCTCGAACATAAACTTTCAAAATTTCTAACATCAGAGAGACATTTTTGAGATAAAGCTGGTCCAATGAAAAAAAAATCATCAATAAGATGAGACATACCAGAGGCCTGATATTTATTTAACATAATCCATTGCAAAGCTGTGCTTAACCTCTCGAACAACTGACACGATGAACTGGCGCCCATTGGTAAACATTTATCATAATAATATTGATTGTTCCAAAGAAAACCTAAAAAATGATAGTCTGAAGGGTGTATTGGGATGTTTCTAAACCCATCTTCTATGTCTAACTTAGCCATAAGTGCCCCTTTCCCAAATTTCTTAATTAGCTGTATTACATTTTCAATAGAATCATAATGCACAACCGCATTTTCTCGCGAAATGTGTTCATTTACTGAATTACCCTCTGGAAAGGATAGATCGTGTATGATTCTAAATTCTCCGGGTAGCTTCTTAGGCACCAGCCCTAATGGCGAACAAATGAAATTTTCAAAGGGTTTAAGTACATGAGGACCTGAAATACGATTGAGCCCCAATTCCTTATTCAACTTATTGTTAACTACCAATGGACTTCTCCTAACAGATGAGTGATTGCTCTTAACAGAGGTTGGCAGAAATTCACTGCAGCCCAGTTTAAAACCAAATTTAAATCCATCAACAAGAAAATCAAGTAAGACCCTGTCATAACCTTGCAATTCCTGACAAAGAACTTCATGTTTTATTGTTGTTGGTATTGTTTGGTTTCCTGATAGGATTGTTTCGGACCCATTTGTTACATTTCTTTTTGGGATGCTGCTCGCCGCAGTGTTGGCAGATGTGCATGTATTTACATGGTGAGGTTTTACAAGGTTTACCGTTGTTGTAGCTGAAGCAGGCCAACTCCCACTGTTTTGTTTTTGACTGATTGAAAAGGTACTGGGAGGAGCGAAATGAACGAGTTAAAGTGCAAGCTTTCACCATATATTCAGTAATGGGAAGTTGCCAAGGTATCTTATTTGATTGTCGGAGTTTCCGAAAGTTTTCATCGTAGTATCTCCAGGCCCCATCCCCATTAGAACTCCCAATTTCCCTAACAGTGAAACAGTATTTTAGTAGATTGGCATGTTCTTGGGGAGACTTCTCGGTGTAAATTGACATGAATATCAAAAATGCTGATGTCCACTGATGAAGTGACATCACTGACTGTTTTGTTGACTGAGGATTTAATTGAATAGCATTATTTTCTATTTGAATTGATATGTTTTGGTCTTTGTAATTTGGAAGTAGACATTTGAGGTCAATGAATTGATCATTCCAGATTTTATTTTTTATGCGAACTGGAACGTTAGCACCCAAAGGAATACCATTGTCAACTGATAATGGGGTAGAATGTGTGCTGTTACCATTTAATGTATCTGCCACTGACTCACCTGAACCTGAAAATAACTGTTGCAGGGTGTTTACCAAATTTAGACTACTTGGATCGCTAGAAGAGGTACTTGATGCAGAGGGTACAGCCTGTGAAGTAGAGGGAGTAGCCTGAGAAACGATATTATTTGAGGAAGCACTGCTTGGTGTCAAAGCCTGTTGTTGTCTAAGAATTGCTGCTGCAAGCTGGTCATAGTCAATTGGAGGGTTGTTGGTGCAGCTCGCTTGAGTAGCTGATGAACTGGCATCAACTGCGTTGCCCAATGCCGACTCTACAAGGGGTGCCTGAGCTGGTTGGCTGCGTAGTTTCATCCTCTTTTTTGGTAGCATATTTTCTACAATAAGTCTGAGCAGTTGTAATTGCCATAGGTGTTAATATAATCATGATCAAAGTATTAATAATGTTAGCCATTCAGCTATAAGCACATGTTATGCACCAACATGTAACATATTTTCCATCTTTGTCATTTGTAAATAGATTGTTCATAAGGCATTTGAGCCAATCATATCACATAATAATTGTCAGCTTGAAAACAGGTCAGTATCCTGGTCAAATCAAAATTCATCATAAGTTGCAGCTCATAAAAAGGAAAAACAAAAACAAAAAACCTGTGCTCATTCCACTAACAATGGAAATGCACTAGAAAAAACAAACCTAGCTGCATTTAACATCATAGTGACAATGACAGCCAACTCTCTTATGTTATAAATAAATAAATTCCTCCCGACCTTCATTATATATCGGGAAGGTAAAGAAAATTAAGCTGTCACCGTCATATGCATAAAAAACATTGGAAGGCAACCACTTTATAAATAAATAAACAGATCTTCCCAACCTTCATTAGATATTGGGATGATTAAGAAAAACAAACTCCTTTTTTTAAATAAACAAACAGATCTTCCCAACCTTCATCAGATATTGGGAGGATTAAGAAAAACAAACTGGAGCCTTCATAAACATATGGTGGAATCATTGACGATTCACAAGGAATCAACTGAAGATTCCCCAATTCTGACCGATACTGACACTGACCGCATGACAATAAATCAGGCGACATAATGTGCAGAAACATGTCGAGGTTTACATTGAAATTAAATAAGCATTCAAGCAATTGCCAATATCATATTTATATATTGAAAAATATAGCAGAAACATATTGCAAAATTTCCATCACATGCACAGTCATTTATCAACATATGTGCATGTTTTACTTATCCTTATTCTCCCACCCTGGCAGATGGGAGGCATGGAGGACAGCACTCTTAATGCTCTGGAGGTATTTCCTCATGACCCGGTGATCGTGACTGCTGTCTTTGAGGTGGACCCCATCGCTGGCCAAGAATTTCATTTCTGGATCCCAGAAGCCGTGATGGTGCCAGAACAAAATGTTGCTGGTAGATCGGTGGCACTGATCATGCAGGAGTTTATTAGTGTCAATCACTTTAAAATTATAGTGGTCCCCTACTTTGGATGGATGTCTGCGTAATAACTGTCCAATTATTACAAAGGAAAATTTGTTAGTTAACAGTAAGAATTGCGCTAACGACATAATATTCCGAGCGACCTTGTTTGGCGTTGCTTGTGGATTTGACAAATCATTCCCGCCAATTTGCATAAAACAAATGGCGCCCTCAATATGTATGCCCTGAAAGTCCAGCAATTCTCGAGAGTTGGCTAGATCTTGTGTCTTGAGGGCGCCCCTGGCTCTAATTAACACTTTAAATTTATCTTTATATAGTCGTAAGTTATCAAAATCTGGTTCATTCTGCATCAAAATTCCGAGTCTCCTGATGAAGGAATGACCTATCACCACCACTGTGCGCGGTTTTGGATCATCAGTACTTGCCGCCTCCATGCCGACTTATACATTCAGACAATGAATCAAAGGTTCAAATAATTACGCACCTTAGATAGTGTCACAGCAAAATATAACTGTATATTAAATCGATGAAATCGATATCCTTGTGTTTCTGCTGTTTAAAAATTTAATCACAACCTCGTGTTTCCACAGTCAAATATAATGGCCGATCACGCTGAACCCGATCTTAACAGGAGTTCGATCCCGATGTCAAAACAATAAGTCGAGAACAACTGTAATTTCATCTTTGTCAAACAATGTAAAAAAGATTGCATATAAAATATTTTATGGAACATAAAATTTTATTTGTAAAAAAAAAAAAAAAAACCGGAAAAGTCTAATTTGTACTTGAGTGTTTTATGAAAGTCAAGTAGAGTAAATATAAATGAAAGGAAATGGAATTTTGCAAAATTAGTATTCATTATGAACATAAAATTAGTTTTTGTAATATATGTGACGATTTATCCTCTTTTCAAGAAATAGTTAAGATTAACCTAAACAAAAGATTGGTGTCACGTGTATTGTTGTCCCTGCTTTTGCAGGATAATAAATTTTATTCGCCTGTCAGTTTACCTTTTTAATGAAATATGATTGGGCAATCATATCTAACACAATATACCACATTTAATGTCATCTCACCCACAAAGACACCAAAAGTGGGGCAACACATTTCTTTGAAGGAGTATATATGATAAGAGCCAATTTTGGCCCCCTAAAAATCAACAATTTATAATGACATTCAGATATGTTTTATTTATATTTATTTTGTAGAAGAGATTATATTAGAAATATTTCCAATATATTTTTCACATTTATATGCACTCACTAGCTGTAAATGACATGAGAAATGATGCTATTTTTGCTATCTAACAAAAAAGCCAAAAATATGCCTTTTTCTTGGTGTTTTTGCTTATTGGAAACATAGAGTGCAGTGTAGAACATACATAATTTTTCTGTCACTAATTAGTATTGAATAGATACATCTTTGGTAAAAATTTAAATCTTGTTCTAGGCTGCGCTCTATATTTTCTGAAAGAAAAACTGCTTGAAAATAAGCAGTTTTATACAAAATATGCTAAAATGGCGGGAAAACGTGACTTTTATGATGTCATACTGTATACAGGGTTATTTTCGCCCCGTCTTATTTTCGCCCTTTCACTCTTGCAAACAATTTTGCCCTGTTTTAAATTCGCCCAGTCATAGTTTTGTTTAAGAAATTATACTGTATTCTTTGAATTCGCCCCGTTTTAAATTCGCGCAAATGAAGGTAGGACGAAAGGGGCGAAAATAAAACGGGGGCGAAAATTTCCCTGTATACAGTATTTCTAAAATAACGGCATTTCGATCAAAATGAAAATGACCAATAAAGGTCGCATATATAGCTGTACAAATTAAAGCTATATATAAAGTAAAATTAAGATATCCATTTTAAGGGGCCAATTGAGACACTTACCATATATCACTCTTTGCTCGTTATACTAAAATTATGTTTTAGAGTTTTTTGATAAGCTACCCTCAAGATTTAATCAATTTTATTTATCTTTTGTTCACATTGTCATATTCCTGAAACATCATCAGGTAAAATATTAACATAGAGAAAAGGAAAGTATTTGCAATATACCCTTTCATTAGAATTTTCTATACTATATAAAAAGGATATGTTAAGAAATCTTGCAAGAAGGTTGTGAAAGAAAAAACCTAAAGAAAAACATTTATTGCTTACAATGATTATATTATATTTAGCTTTACTTTAAAGCAAAAGCTTGGTCTTAAAAAAAAACAATGATCATTATCTATATCAAGCTGAAAGTTTTCTTTCTCTATAATTCACTATGAGAATAAAAATCAATCAAGTGACTTCTTCTTCTTCTTTAAATGTTCGATATTATTTTACTAGTGTAGTAATAACGTTGACAGCTGTCATGCATTCTCTTTTGTGTGATAGTCTTTATGCTGTGTAGTTGTTTAAAGATTCTATTGCCAAAGTGTTTGCATTCTCATTTCTGTAGCAGCCTGTATGCTATGAAGTTGATCTTCTCTTAGAGATTGTTGGTATGAGTATAAAGCACTCTGATGGTTTCCTGTCATCTGTTGACAAATCCCTAATATCTGCCATGCTAAGTTTTTCACGATTGGACGAATAAACTCTACCCGATCATAGTGAATTAAAGCTTGCAAATCATCTAAAGCATGTTGTGCTCTGATTAAGTCTACATGTGTGCAGCAAAAAAATTCTAGCATGTATAACATTACAAAGGGTGGAATATATAAGCAAGGCACATGGTTTTGTAGACTAGACTGTTGTTCTGGTATCAATTCACTGATGTAAAGAATGTTATTGTTAAGTTTTATATCCCATGCTACAGCTTTTTTCATTTTTGTTGACCAGGACTGACCCCCTAAAGCGGTCATATACATCTCCTCATCTACATAAAGAGAATTGTGCATCACATATGGCTGTGCTAGCGTGACTTTTATCACGTCTATTATAGATAAAGCTTCCATATATCTAAGTGTTTTGTAATAATACAAGGCTACGTACAACATATCAGAAATACAACCAAACTTCGCTGCATATTTCAGGATATGACAGGAAATTTTGTCAGCCCTGTATGTTGATTTGTTTTCTTGTGGGTAAGTATTGATATGTATTATAAAAGCCAGATTCTGTAGGATAGAGTTTGTAAGACTCTGACGCATAATGATTTGATTCTGTGTTAGGGGTAAAGACATCGTCTGTTCTATTATACGCAAATTCTGTATACATCCATGTACGTTTGAGGCTGATAGTGAGCCTCTGGACGTATCTACTTCTCTAAATAACGTGAGATCAAAGTCAACCTCAGAAAACTGGGCATCCTCCTCTGCACAAAAGTAAATGTCTGGATCACGCATGAAATCTATGCATCCATTGCAGGACAAAATCGTAAGAGTCTCCATCATGGATTGGATACCCATCTTATACAGCGTATGCAGTTTAATAAATAAACTATTTTGGGCTTCACCATGAATATTACTGAGAAACATGTTGTTACTGGGAATGAAAAAGTTTGGACAGACCCCTTCATACACCCATTTGAGGATGAGTTTAAAACAAACCCAAGAACAGTATAGGAGAGTATGCGGACACCATTGGGGCATCATATTTTGTTGAATTGCCCAGAAAACTGCTGTCTTCATGTGATAGGAACACAGTAATTTATCACCATCGTCTAATCCTTTGTTAATTACCCTATTTAGAAATAATTTGAGTAATCCATATGTTAAGAACTGGGGATGGTTCATTGCATAAACAAGTTTTTGTTCTGCCAAAGAGAAGGAAATTCTCCATTCATTGTTTTCATGTCTTCCTAGTTTATGTCCAATTGCCACAAAATGACATCCACTTTTCACTATGTCATCGACAATATGAGGCGGGGGCCATGAATGACTTCTGTCTATCCATGAGGAGGCAGATGGAGGCCAAATGTCTGATGCAAAGCAGTGGGCAAGATCATATCCTAGTATTCCATGATATCTACTCACACAAGGACCGTGAAGATAAGAGCTCTGAGACTCCGATGAGCACTTGATTTGTCTGTGTTTAGAACTAGATATATAATATCTATTTTTCATTCTAAAACATGCACCCTGGATTTCATTATGTAATGTTGGTGAGAGTAAATATAACAAAGTGAATCCTGGAGGGCTCTCGGAACAATCACAGAGTATCAGTTCCTTGCTGCTATTGTTATAATATTGAGACTCATGTTCGTCCCAGATCACACGGTATCTATTTGGCCAGCACATTTCGTCTAAATCTGAATCTACATTAGTCTAAATCCTTCTCTTTGACTTCCACTTCTCATTGTGATGTCAGAATTTTTTCTCATTTGATTTGACAGTATATTTACTAGATCCATCACGTCTCTCCTGGCTCCAATTTCTAATGACGTCCCAACATCGAGGCACAGTCTGAGAAACATAAATGCTGACATATTCTTTATGTCCACCATGCCATTACTGATAAAAGAAAAAAATGATAAATATATTTTACTTCACTTTAACACCTTCTGTAAAATATTAAGCAAGAGGAATATTAGAGAAAACCAATATCTCACGAATGGATATAGCTCGCAATGATTTCCAGTAGCTTGCGAGTATTGGATTTGGATCAAGTAAAATTATAAGTACAATGTTAATCTAGATGACAGGTTTCTATAAAAGCAGTTGCTGAGGACGGTCCAGAAGAGATAATTTAAGCTTTAAGCCAAAACATTTTCCACAAAAAAGTACTCTTTCTTGAGTGTTCTTTAAGGACAGATGATACAAACAAACTTTTTCTTTGAAAAAGATTAAATATCAAGTCACAAGTTTAGAAAAGTTGATGGTTCTTAGATTTTTTTTCTCCGAAGAACTGGAATATGAAAAAGACCTGGAAAATATTAGTAATATTTCAATGAAAACACAAATATAGACAAATCACATTCAGTAAACGTTTACAGGTTAAAATAAATTTCAGAATATGTTATCTTGGCGCTAGAAGTGTAATACAGTGAAAACTGTCTAATCCGACACCTGAATAATCCGACACACCGTGAATTCCGACGTTAAACTTCTTTCCCATTTTAGTATTTTCCTTGTTTTTTACACTGTGCAATCCGACACCCTGTCTTTTCCGACACAAAATTTGTCTCCCAGTGCATGTCGGATTAGACAGGTTTCACTGTATAAACTTAAGAAAAATATACCGAGCCAGGTGAATTTTATTAGGAAAAGCTAAATGGTTAAAATCAGCCTATGTGATATTGCCATTTTTTTGTAAGTTTGATCTTCCTCTAAAAATTCACCTGGCCTGGTATATTTTTCTAAGGTTTATATTACACGTTTAACGCCAGGATAACATATTCTGAAATTTATTTTAACCTGTAAACCTTTACTGAATGGGATTTGTCTATATTCATTTTTTTATTGAAATATTACTAATATTTTCCAAATCTATTACATTATCCAGTTCTTCGGAGAAAAAATTCTAAGAACCATCCACTTTTCTGAACTTGTGACATGATATTTAATCTTTTTCAAAGAAAAAAATTGTTTGTATCATCTGTCCTTAAGTTATAAAAGACTCGAGCATTACTTCAAGCCATTGTTTAAAGCATTTTACTCGTTAAATTGATTTTATTAACGATTATTTGAGAAGTATATTCTAAATAAGAAATTTTATATTATGATTCAAAAATTGCAAAGCCAACTGTTAGTTAATGCGCATTGTACAAATAGCTTGTTTTTTTAGCACTTATATTGTAACTCTTAGGTTAAACACTTTAAGGACAGATGCTACAAACTAACTTGTCATAAAAATTAAAATAAGAACCCGAGTCATGCTTCTTTCAGAAAATGAGCAAGTTCAACCGCGTAGTTTTTAATTTTTCATTCAAATTTACATAAAAATGGAATTTGTAGTGAGGACACTTTTTATAGTTCAGTAAGGATGGCTGCAGAAAGGTAGAATTTTTAACATCACAGAAGGTTTACAATTTCTTAATACATTATTTTGGAAAGTTTTAAGTTGTATTGTTAGTATGCATACTTACGTATGGGAATGTCTAATGGAGTCCATTTTCCCAAGAGATGAAAAGTTTCAGATACTATTATTAGGACAAGAAACTTCCCTTGTGAATCATCTTACATATTCCTGTTGTGTCATTCTGATTATTTATTGGTTTATTATGCAGGTAGCCAAATTCTGTAACAAAAATTTATATGACTTTAAGCAGTTTTAACACAAAGTGTTGTGATCGTCATTCAAAACTCAGTTATCTTTGACAAAGCAGTGGTTGGCACTTATGTAAACAAAAGCAAATGTATAATTATATTGGGTATATGGTATAAGATATGTAACATATACTTCTTTCAAACCGTGTAATACAGGGCTTTATATAAAATGTTAAAAGAAGATCAGTCAAGAAGATCAAATAAGAACTTTAGATAAAATATATTTTTAAAAAATACCCTAAATGACTTTAAATCAACACAGAAAACGATATAAACCATGAAGTCTTCTGTTTGAGTTATTGCTCAGAAAGAGATGTTTTACTTTCATAAAAAAAAGAATGATGTACTTAAAAGTCTTCGTCATTGTTATAGAATCAAACAGGCAAATTATGGGCATGGATCTAAGGAGTGCTAGACCTTTCACAATTTATGTTTTAGATTTTATGATAAACCCAAAGTCCATGCATAGTTTAGGTACAAGAACAGCTGTATGGTGTATGGCTAAATGTTAAATATCAAATATGTTTGACGCCTATGAGGAAAACTTTAAGCTTAATTATAGTTAATATAGACTCTACCGACTTGCAAATGTCTCCATCGTTCATTGTTCAGGATCCCGAGTATAAAAGAGTTTCTGTTCTATAAAGATTTCATCTTTTCTAGGGACATTGTTTTAACATCATTGTATTATCTTCGCACTCTATTGAAGTCCCTGCATCTATTGTTCAGATCCAAGGTTAAGGTCAATCGGAACAATATTTTAAAGATTTGAGTTTTCATAAAAATCAAATTTTAAGACAAAATTTGTTTGGTATCTGTATCATAAAAATAGGTTATAAACCTTTTACTTGATACGACAGAATAATCCTGGCTTTTGTTTTAAATAATCAGAGCTTAGGATATGTCTAAACTTGGTATTCTACATTTTTATGAAGCAAAAATATAGAACAAATAACTAAGCAACCGATAACAAAACAATGATTTTGATGTATTGATTGATTGTATGTTATACGTTTAATTTGAATATTTTTATGACATCACTATACACTGGAAAGGGCGTTCAAACTGAGACCTTTATTCGACACTCATGGCCATTGAGCAGCGGGGTTTTTTATGGTGCCAACGCCTACTTGACACGGGACCTCGATTTGTAAGGTCTCCTCCGAAAGGCCTGCATATTTATCTTCAATGCGCTCCTTCTCAGCGGCAGGCGTTGGTACGATAAAGATCCCTCACTGATTAATGGCCCTGAGTGCCGAGTAGAGGACAAAATTTGAAGCCCTTCACCGGCATACGGTGACGTCTCCATATGAGTAAAACATTCTCAAGAGGGGCGTTAAACAATATACAATCAATTAATCAATGCCATCATGGTGAAAGAACAGTTGCTACTTTCTTTTTTTTTGTATCGACTTTGATCAGTAGCGGCTATAATACTAACAACTTGCCGATCATGAACTGAGCTATCATGAAGGTCAAGATTTCAAAAATTGAAATCAAAAATTTATCTTGGTATGGCATACCTTTGCGTCAAGCAAATTTTGACAGGATTTATTGGATATTAATTAAAAAAAATTAATTTGAATGTGACCATGTGGTAAGAAACTTTCAACAAATTTGTTTTAGAAAAGGTATACATAACCATATGTAGACATTAAAGGGTAATACACATGTCATACAAGTATTAGAACTCCTCAATCCCAAGAAAGAAGACAACTAAGTTCAAAATATGTTGTACATGTTCAAAGAAATCTGTATCTCAATTTTTCTAAGGATTTCAACATTAATTTTTCATGAATGTACTTATTAATTAATATCTTGATATTCATACATTGATAAAGGTTTTTCTTTTGCTGATATTATGTAACTGTTGTCTTTAATATCAAAATCAGTCTCGAAAGCAAAACACTGATTTTATTAACACAAGACATATATTATATATATTTTAAACAATCTTCAAGAAAACTGCAGTTCCACACATAGGAACAATAAATTTTCATCTTAACCAAACCTTTTGTTAATTATTACTTTCCGTGACAAAAAATACAGAGCTGAGCATGAACTAAAAAATAATTGACAAACCTCCAATGTTTGTTATGCGACAGAGGAGATCCTACATTTATTGTATTCCTGAGACGAGAGAGGGGTCTGTATCATTTATTTTTTTCTTTTGCCACGTCATAAACGATCATTGGGATAATTTCCGGTTTGAAAAAAGCGATGTTATCACAACACAACACGGAAAGCCTACAAAAATGGGTGGGTCATAATTTTGCTTGATTGGTATCACAAGATTTACACCAATGTTATCGTTTGGATCTTAACTGTTTTCTGATCATAATAATCCTTCTGACTCCAATATCGGGTACTCTCCAAGATTTTTAACATAGCATTGCGCAAACATACTCTGAAAAATGCTGTGCATCTCAGCTTAGTGATTATAGAATTATATCCTATCCTCTACATTGAATAGACTATAATTATCAAAATTCATAAACTTTCATTAACTTATTATCATAATTTATTTCAACAAGTCATGCATGCTTTGAAGTATTACAAGGAAGACACTTATAAAAGACTGTTATGGGCAATCTGTTTATAAACTTGTAACAGATGACACAAATGAGATTTTTTAAATACATCCTAATTATTGCTATCATAGAGACACGTTCAGGGAAAGAAATATTTGATAAAAAAAACATTTGTCACTGAAATCTAATTATCATATGATATAAGAAATCATTCCTCAAATAAAAAAAATATTTATTTATTTAAAAGATTTTTCCTGGTCTGCATATCATTTTATATATTCCTGTTATGTCATTTTTTATGGATTTATTATACATGTAGGAAACATTTTGTTACATTGATGACATTTTAACCAGCATTTTAACCAGCATCATAACAAGCTGTTGTGATCGTACTTAACCATGGTTTGACAAAGTGGATTACATTAACGTTGATTTAATGTAAAGGAAATACATAATTATACTGGATAAATGGTGTTAAATAACATTTATTTCTTTCAAAATATTTAATACATGGCTTTATAGAATGTGAATTACAGATGCTACAAACAAACATTTCATTTAAAAAAAAATGAAAATAACACTTGTTTCACGTTAATATAATGAACAATTTAAGAACCCTTTTTACAAAGCACAACAAAGAGTTCTGATTCTTAGGTATTTTTGCAGTTAGGGTGATATGCCCTTAGACCTAAATTCTAAAAACAAAATAATAGAAATTTACAATATATTACTCAATTTGTAATTAATTCAAGTATTCTTAACATTTTAAAAGGCCAAGATAAATATACTGAATGTGTTATTACATTAATGCATTTATCTCTATTGAAGTAGGTTTATAAACAGTCAATTACTATTCGAAGATACTGTGTTGTCTTGAATCCACAAACATTTTTTAACAGTATTTCTTTAAAGTAAAAGATTAACAGTTAATCATATCATATAGTGAATATTAATATAAATAAGAATATCTCAATGTATTTTCTTTAATATCAAGAAATATAATTTTTCTCGAATGTCCATTCAAAAAAATTGTCATTTTTGTATTTAGAGAAGGTGTTCTTTTTCCGTCATGTATTATATAATACAAAAAAGGCTTTTGGATCATTTGACACCACAAATTTTTATTTCATATAATGCTAATAAGCATTGATAATAATTAATATCTTCTTCTCTATTTTATTATTAATTTTCTGGATTCAAGAAAACCTTATTTTCTCGAAAACTGCATTGCATTTTTTTCCTTTTATATCTAAAGAAATGTTAACTTTTTGAAGACCTTTTCTTAGACTTCCAAAATTCTTGAATTCTTAAAGATGGATAAAATGAAAATTGTTGCATGCCAATCACAATATCATATCATGTCCCTAATACAGGCTCGAGAAATTTATAAACAATATTATATTATCCCTCCCTCCCAGTTAAGCCCCCCCCTGGAAGTATCTTCGTCAATAAGTTAGCTCCCATGAGAGGTAAATTGAGAAAATCTGTAAATTTAGTTTTCCGTGAAACTCAAATCCACTCATGAAATACAAGAGAACTGGCATGAAATCAAATATTTCAATTTTTTTTTTTTTGGAAAATGCGAGAAAAATGCATGAGTGCGGGATAGTGACTATGCGTTAGAAGTAGTACAATGTATATGTGTTTAAATTCGTGACTGCAGGGAAGGAAGTTAATATAATTATTGTTAACATAAGACACGTTCGGAATATTTGGATATTTTAATTTGGTCCATTTTTGGGATAAGATGTTGCAAATATTTCCAATGACATCTTACCTGATGCAGACCCATTGCATGTGTTGCTACCCATTTAGCTACCGTGACGGTTATCCTTTATTACAGTTAATAAGTCTTATCTAACAAGTGCATCTTCATAAATACATCGTACCTAAAATGTTTCAGTGATATCTTACTTTCATGAATACGAAGCGCAGTTGGGTACAGTCCACTAATTGTTTTCCCATAGGCGACAATGTTAACGTTTCTTCTCATAGCGATGTCCCAAATTTTCGTTCAGAAGTGAGTGACCCCTCAAATCAAAGCACATCAACTTATCTCTCCTTGGTTAAAATCTTGAGCTGGCATGTCAGATTCGTTTTCCGGCAAAATGCGTCTGTCTGCGAGAACCTCTAAAAATGAAAGTGAAAGTAGCGGATTTCAGAGTTCTCACTGGCTTTATAATACACAAAATAATTCGGCTGATATCTTGATAAATTACATTTGCCAAGCTTATTTGGTAGGAAAGATACTCCTTATCAACAAGTGTGAGGCTCAGTTCAGTACATCTGAACAATTTTTTATGCAAGTCTGCAAATTAATGAACTTGTAATTTTATCTGCACTACTTTCTTCTCATATCGATTCTGAGATTAATTAGTGGGATGTACCCAGTAAAGGTTACAGTAAGGAGGCGGTGTCTTATTTTAACGAGAAATGTTTACTCTGACGTCACACAAAGTATAAGGTCTTCAAAATACAACAAAATGAACTTATTTGCTTTCAAACTGCTGGATAGCTGTATACTACATAAAAACTTACTATTGCATGCAGATTTGTCGTTTGTTAAATCCAACACAACAGTATATAAACTATGCATCCATCGAAATGCGCTTGTCAACAGACTTCATCTCTCAATTTGAATGACAAGTTTGTAGACAGTAAGAGGCTGATCAAATCATATTTTCACCCCTACTAATGTGTTCGGAACCTTTTATTTTTTGGTGTTCTACAAATTATAAGACCCGATGAGTTCAAAGTAGCTCTGGAAGTGGCTCTGGCGAGAGTTAGCGATACTTCAGCGAGATAGGGTAAATTATTCACGGAAACTTGGCTAGGAAGTGACTAGCACGTGGAGACATGGTAAACAAAAAAGTTATGTCTCGTTTCATTTTTCACCCCCCTAGAATCCTCTGATAGTGATAATGTCTGTAGAAATGTAGTTCAATCAATCGATCTCTCTTACATTCATTCAAACTTGAATAGGTATATTCTCTATAATACAATTTTCTGCAGTCATGAATTAAAATTTCTTTTTGGACAAATATTTTTGCATGGGAACTTGGACTATATTTTTTGGCGTCAGATTAGCAAATGAGGCACCAGCATGATTTTAACTGACCAATTAGATGAATGAGTATTGCATTATGGGTTACTACGAATACTACAGGAATTTTACGCTTGAAAAAAAAGAAAATCTTATGGTAAATGAAAAGCAGTTTAATAAATATTATTTTTTTTAGATGAGGCGAAGCAGGGAAGATTTCATTTGTTCAATAAACGGTGGAAGTCCAGGTTTCTGAAAGTCATACTGCAGAGCGATTTACGTCTGTAATAATTCCTTTGTTGTACTATCGGTGAATACAATCGCCAGGTGGATTCCCTGGCCAAACACGTGATCACGAACGAGTTTTGTCCATTTAAATCCACAAGAGATGCTGCTCGTTTTCCTTACCCTTGAAGCGCTGGTGTTCTGAACTAGACACAAACTACATTTTATTAAACATTTTTTCCAGTTAACAACAAATAAAACACTCCTGTAACATCTTTAATAGTTTCTTATCTTTATATTTTGTTCTTAAGAATTTTTTTTTAATTTTGTATTCCATTGACATGATCATAGATTGACCTGAACCACGTGTTCGAAGTAAAATGTAAACGTGTACTAGTATTTTCCGTAAACGTTGCTATTCAGCGATCGGTCAGTTGCTCGTAGTAAGATCTTCTGTGCATATTTATAACAATAGCCATATAAGGCAAACAAAGGTTTGTCAGTGTAGATGATAATACATATTTTATAACCAGCGAATTGGTCACTAGTGAGCTCTTATTTTCGCCAAAAAGTGTAAGATATGTTGTTATTTTAACACCCCTCCTTTAGCAACCCCTTTTCTGTTGAAAATCCTGAAAATCTTTCAGAAAGGTCTGGAAACATTTATTACAGGACACGTTTTCAAAAGAAACAGGCTATAGCAAAATCCTGTTTACACAACATATATAAAACCGGTTCTACCATATAACCTTTGAATAGATCAACCTAAACCACGTGTCTTGAATTTAAATCACAATAACATTAGTAGGGGTGATTTTTTACAATAAAAATGTCTTTTGTTATAAAATAAAATATTATTTGCAGTTAAATAAAAGACCGTAATCTTGGATGCGACGTCTATTTTAGTACTTTATTTATTAACTGCCCGTATATTCTCCAGACAAGAGATACTGTCGTGTTTTATGCAGATTCATTGAAAAGGTAATAGAAGAGCCCTAATAAATCGATGTATTGCAAGGGCATGCCCTCAGTGTATCTTGCCAAGTTTTTACACATAAACTCAAGAAGCATTAAGATATCTGAAAAGTGCTTCAAACCTCACGAATAAAATAGCTATATTTAATGTAGTTGACCAGGAAAATATTCAACCTGCCGTCAAACAAATTAAATTTTAAGAATTAAAAAAGGGAATCTATATAGTATCGCAGCACATTTCAAAAACTACATGTAGTGTTGAAAAGGATTACAAATTAAACTAAGCTTTTTACCTTGGTTATGCCCTTGCAATATTGGAATTTATAGATGACCGCTAAACGGCAAGTATAATTGCTAAAATCACGTGACAAGTCTAAATAAAAAATCTAAATGTCACCAGCATGTAGATTTGAACCACATAACATTTTTTAATATCAGTGACTTCCTAAAAAGAATCGCCCATCCTAATAAAGTATGTATTTTTGTCTTAAAAATCGCCTATATCTCCATTCGTTATCTTAACTGTACTGCGTAGGTCGTACTTGTCAATTTGACAATTTAAAGTTGATGATGACCCAGCTTGTTATCTAAACACAAAAAATTTTAATTCCTTCTGGTTTCGACAAAAGGTAAAAAAAACAAAACACTTAAATAAAAGGGAAAGTTAGATAATTGTTATGATGCACTATTAAATAAACCCTAAGATCTAAATACTATAACTTCCCTTTCATTAGATTGTCGTGGAGGTCACTAGAGGGAGGTCTGATTTGAGTGACATTGCAATAGATGACTAATTCATAATTATTGCAATTTTTTATTTCATTCAAAGTAAAAGATTACATATATACAGTGTATATAATACAATAACGAAATGTTGTTTTTTTTACATTAATGTCTTATTTTTGCATTTCATTTTGTAAACATATGCCTTTACAGTCAATTGACAGCAATGCAACACTGTATACGAGCAAACAATCAAAAATACATTGGTTATAAACTATTTCAAGTTAATTTCCTCTACAATTCACAATGAAAAAAATATACACCGATTTTTAAAAAAAATCTATCGAGTGGGGAATTTTTTCTTCAAATGTTTTTAAAGTGATTTCGCAGATGGATTATAATGATTCTCATTTTTGTGGCACTTTGTATACCGTGGAGTTGATCTTCTTTAAGAGATTGTTGGTATGAGAATAGAGCATCGCGGAGGTTCCCTGTCGTCTGTTGACACATCCCCAAAATATGCCATGATATGTTTTTAGCGGTTGGATGTATATGCTGTCCCTGATCAAAGCAAACTAAGCCCTTTAAATTATCAACAGCTGCTTTTGCTCTGATTGTGTCTATATGTTTACAGCAAAAAATTTCTAGCATGTATAACATAACAAAGGGTGGTATATATAAGCAATGCATATCGTTTTGTTGACTGGACTGTTGTTCTGGTCTCAGTTCTTTGATGAAAAGAATGTCATTGTTCAGGTTGATATCCCATGCTACAGCTTTTCTCATTTTTATAGTCCAGGACTGACCCCCTACAGCTTTCCTATATTTCTCCTCATCTACATCAGATTTGTATATCACGTATGGCTGTGCTAGCTTGACCTTTATCACATCTATCAAAGCCAATGCTTCCCTGTATCTAAATGTCTTGTAATGATACATGGCTAAAAACAACATGTCAGAAATACAACCAAACTTCGCTGCAAATTTCAGAATATGACGAGACATTTTGTCAGCTATGTACTTCATTTTGTTTTCTTGTGTATAATTATTCATATGTACCGTAAATGCCAAATTTTGGAGGACAGTACTTATAAGTTTTTGTAGCATAATGACATGATACTGAGTCAGGGGAATTGTAAAAGTCTTTTCTATTACATGTAAAAAATTCATAAAATTTCCAACTTTATAATAAATAAATCTGTCTTGGGTGTTTATTTCTCTAAATAATTTGACATCAAAATCAGCCTCAGAAAATTCGAAATCTTCATTTGACCAAAGGAGAATTCTGGGACCCCGAATGAACTCTATACATTTATTACAAGAAGGAATGGAGAGAGTTTCAAGAATGGATTGTATACCCATCTCATAAAGCTTATAAAGTCTAGTAAATAAAGCATTCTGGGCTTCACCATGAATATTACTCAGAAACATGTTGTTACTTGGAATAAAAAAGTTAGGACAGACCCCCTCATACACCCATTTGAGGATGATTTTAAAGCAGATCCAGGAACTGTCAACAAGAGAATATGGAGACCAGAAGGGTATCGTATTTTGTTGAATCGCCCAGAAAACTGCCGTCTTAATATGATAAGAACACAGTAATTTATCATCATCGCCTCTTCCGTTGTTAATTTCGCTATTTAGAAATAATTTGAGCAAGCCGTATGTTAAGAACTGGGGATGGTTCATTGCATACACAAGTTTTTGTTCTGCTAAAGAGAAAGAAATTCTCCATTCATTAGGTTCATGTTCATGTCTTCCTAGTTTATGTCCAATTGCCACAAAATGACATCCACTTTTCACTATGACATCAACAATATGAGGCGGGGGCCATGAATGACTTCTGTCTATCCATGAGGAAGCAGATGGGGGCCAAATATCCGATGCAAAGCCGTGAGCAAAATCATATTCTAGCATTCCATGATATCTACTCACACAGGGTCCATGGAGATAAGAGCTTTGAGAATGTGTAGAACACTTGATTTGTCTGTGTTTAGAACTAGATATATAATATCTGTTCTTCATTCTAACACAAGCTTCCTGGATTTCAGTGTCAGATATTTGTGAAAGAAGATATAACAAGGTGAATCCTGGCGGGCTTTCTGAACCGTCACAGAGTATCAGTTCTTTGTTGAGATTGTTATAATATTGAGACTCGTGTACTTCCCAGATCACTCGGTAATCATCTGACCAGTACATAATATCTAGATCTGCGTCCATTGTTCTGAATCCTTCTCCTCGACTTCCAGTTGTTAATATAGAGTAATTTCTCATATGTCCCAGTGCGTTTATTACAGAAATCACATCTCTGATAGCCTCGACTTCCTTTGATGTCCCAAACAGAAGACATAGACAGTGGTAAACAAATGCTGACATATTCCGTGTGTCCGCCATACTATTCCTGATAAGAGAGAAAAGTTAATAATTACTGTAGAATTTAGAGTCAACATTTATGGATACCGGTATGTTTATATGCAAAAATGAACGCGACTTCCAATATCTTGACAATAATAACAATAATGATACAGGGTACACGCAATTATGTAGACTTAAAGTTCACATAATCATCTCCCTCTCCCTTCTTTTAGACATGCAGTTTTTTATACTTCAGAAATAATATTGTTCATCCTTTTCTCCACTGAAGAAATCTGAAACATCAAACTAGGATTAAACTATTGAGGTATCTAACGGAGATATTATCTAATATAACCTCTGTTACCATGACTATCAAAAAATGGGGCATTTCACCTTGATATTATCATGATTATATCGGACGATTTTTTGTTTATGCGTTCATAGATAATAAATTGGTGTATCTTTGTTATATGTAAGAAATACCTTTCAGGGATTTATGACTAAAGTAAAGATCAAGCCTCCTTTAATAAGAAAGTAATTGTTAGCAATATTTATGGAATCCGATCACAATTGCTTTTAATGTCAAATTGAATAATCGTCACTTCACACTCATATTTAAGGAAACTATATTAACATATTCTGTAAAATAAATATTTTCGTGGGGGTTTAAATTTCATGGTTTTCTAGGTGTGAGGAGACCCACAAATTTATGTCCACCATGAAATGTAATTTTTCAAATATGTTACTACTAAACAATTCCTCATCCACGAAATTAAATCCCAACGAACTCATATTTTTCCTTAAATCACGAAAATTTGATTTTACATAATTTATTTCTGCCCCGAAAATATGTGTCCATTTTACGTAACATTAATTTATTTCTGTCATTGTCATGATCGTGAAATAACTGAAATAAACAGTGTATAAAGTAACCTGAAAAATCAGCATTTGACTCAATGATAAATTGTATTTGCTGACAAGGTCATTGCTTATTTGCTGACAAGGTCATTGTATCGACCATAGAACTTACGAAATGATGACTTTAAACGAAACTGCTATATAAACTAAGTCCTAATTGTCTTATATAAATTGATACAGATATTCAAATAATTTTAATATTATTTAAAGTACTGTTAGCAAGAAAACTTACGCATGGAAATGTTTGAAGAAATCCATTTTCCCATGTAAGAAATGTAAACGCTCGGGTACTACCTGTACATCTAGAACTGGAAAAGTCCCTTGCATATTATTTACGCATGCCCATTGTGTCATTTTATTTCGTTAGGATTGTTTTTAAGGTTGAACATTTGAAATTTAGATATTCCCATTCTTTTCTCTTGTCCGATATTTCCCCGTTGGAACGGCAATGGCTTGTGTGGCTGTGCCAGCTTGACTTTTATCACATCTATCAAAGCCAATGCTTCCCTGTATCTAAATGTCTTTTAATGATACATGGCTAAAAACAACATGTCAGAAATACAACCAAACCTCACTGCAAATTTCAGAATATGACGAGCTATTTTGTCAGCTGTGTACTTCCTTTTGTTTTCTTGTGTACAACTATTCATCTGATCCATAAAAGTCAAATTTTGGAGGACAGCATTTATAAGTTTTTGTAGCATAATGACACGATACTGAGTCAGAGGAAGTTTAAAAGTATTTTCTATTACATGTAAAAAAAAATTCATAAAATTTCCAACTTTATGATAAATAAATCTGTCTTGGGTGTTTGTTTCTCTAAGTAATTTAACATCAAAACCAACCTCAGAAAATTTGAAATCTTAATTTGACAAAAGGGGAATTACAGGACCCTGAAAAAACTCTAAAAGTTATAGGTAGAAGGAATGGAGAGAGTTTTAAGAATGGATTGTATACCCATCTCATAAAGTTGATAAAGTCTAGTACATAAAACGTTTTGGGCTTCACCATAAATATTACTTAGAAACATGTTATTTGTCAATGATTGATATTCGAATATTCGATAGAGGTATTCGAATATATTCGATTATTCGATAAAACATTTACATTTTGCATTATAAAATATATATTTTCACTCTTCTGTTAACCAGTACACGTTTCATGTCATTATTTTGATATAAAATTTCACATAGAGTTTTGTAATTGCCAAGTTATTATATTTATTAAAAAAATACAGAATATATCTGTATATGAAGAATATACATCCAAAATGTAATTAAAATTTGTTTTTGAAAATTCAAAGGTTCTTTATTCTGATTTAGATTAAATGATCGTCTTACTAAAGACTGCACTAATTACTCCTACAAATCTATACCACACTGTACAATTATCTACTGAAGAGCAATTAAAATCAATTAATTTTAGCCAATCAATTTCCTGATAATTATATCTAAACATGTATACATTAGCAAGAGAGCCGTGTGTTTTCTGTAAAACTGTGTCCTTACAACAAAACAAACTGATTGTAAGTAATTGGCACTGTTATACCACTTATTAAATGATCAAAGAATAATTCATTCCTACAGTTTCATTTTTCGCACTTTTAAAGTAATCAAACAGGAGTGTCTTTTAGTTTTTTTAAAATCAAATATTATTCCTAGTCAACGTTGGTATTTTATTCAATTTAAAAAAAAATTGCCAGATTTTTCTCTCTGTTAAATGTTTGTACACTAAAAAACCGAATATTCGAATCATATTTTCATATTCGAATATCAACCCATCGAATGAATATTCGAATATTCGAATATTCGTTGACATCCCTAGTCATTTTATTTCTTTAATTAATCATGCATGAAAAATATTCTGCAGCCACGATTGATCATACAAAACTTCAACAGTTTTATTACAAGCTGTTGTTAACGTAATTTAAAAATCGTGTATGTTTGACAAAGAAGTGGATACTATTGAAATTAATTTGAAAGCACTTGTATAATTATTTTAGGCAAATTGTATCGAATAACGTTTATTTCAGTAGTATGACCGACACCTTAGGGGAGTATACAATGGGGGTATTGTTTAAGAGAACAATGGAGAGAACAAAACTTACGAACTTTCTTTACAAGGTTTGCAGTAAATAAGGTATTGATCCAACAACAAGTATCAAAGTCAATCTCAAGTAACAATGAGACACGGGATCGAGTCACGCACGCAGATAGGATAAGGCTGTCCGTAAAATATCAAACTGACTTTGATCTACCTAGATATGACGTCATAATAGAATTTGACGTCAAGTCACTGAATACTTGAGCTGAAATGACGGGAAAAGTGTCATAATTTTTATATGGCATGTAGATTTATTTGGGGGACTTCTTCTTTATTTCAAGCGTTAGGATTGTTTTTAAGGTTGAACATTTGAAATTTAGATATTCCCATTCTTTTCTCTTGTCCGATATTTCCCCGTTGGAACGGCAATGGCTTGTGTGGCTGTGCCAGCTTGACTTTTATCACATCTATCAAAGCCAATGCTTCCCTGTATCTAAATGTCTTTTAATGATACATGGCTAAAAACAACATGTCAGAAATACAACCAAACCTCACTGCAAATTTCAGAATATGACGAGCTATTTTGTCAGCTGTGTACTTCCTTTTGTTTTCTTGTGTACAACTATTCATCTGATCCATAAAAGTCAAATTTTGGAGGACAGCATTTATAAGTTTTTGTAGCATAATGACACGATACTGAGTCAGAGGAAGTTTAAAAGTATTTTCTATTACATGTAAAAAAAAATTCATAAAATTTCCAACTTTATGATAAATAAATCTGTCTTGGGTGTTTGTTTCTCTAAGTAATTTAACATCAAAACCAACCTCAGAAAATTTGAAATCTTAATTTGACAAAAGGGGAATTACAGGACCCTGAAAAAACTCTAAAAGTTATAGGTAGAAGGAATGGAGAGAGTTTTAAGAATGGATTGTATACCCATCTCATAAAGTTGATAAAGTCTAGTACATAAAACGTTTTGGGCTTCACCATAAATATTACTTAGAAACATGTTATTTGTCAATGATTGATATTCGAATATTCGATAGAGGTATTCGAATATATTCGATTATTCGATAAAACATTTACATTTTGCATTATAAAATATATATTTTCACTCTTCTGTTAACCAGTACACGTTTCATGTCATTATTTTGATATAAAATTTCACATAGAGTTTTGTAATTGCCAAGTTATTATATTTATTAAAAAAATACAGAATATATCTGTATATGAAGAATATACATCCAAAATGTAATTAAAATTTGTTTTTGAAAATTCAAAGGTTCTTTATTCTGATTTAGATTAAATGATCGTTTTACTAAAGTCTGCACTAATTACTCCTACAAGTCTATACCACGCTAAACAATTATCTACTGAAGTGAAATTTAAATCAATTAATTTTAGCCAATCAATTTCCTGATAATTATTTCTAAAGATGTATACATAAGGAAGTGAGCCGTGTGTTTTCTGTTAAATGTGTCCTAATAAACAAAACAAACTGATCGTAAGTAATTGGCACTGTTATACCACTTATTAATGATCAAAGAATAATTTATTCTTACAGTTTCATTCTTCGCACTTTTAAAGTATTCCAGCAGGAGTGTCTTTTAATTTTTTTAAAATCAAATATTATTCCTAGTCAACGTTGGTATTTTATTCAATTTAAAAAAAAATTGCCAGATTTTTCTCTCTGTTAAATGCTTGTACACTAAAAAACCGAATATTCGAATTATATTTTTGTATTCGAATATCAACCCATCGAATGAATATTCGAATATTCGAATATTCGTTGACATCCCTAATGTTATTACTTGGAATAAAAAAAAATGGGACAGACCCCCTCATACACCCATTCAAGGATGATTTTAAAGCAGATCGAGGAACTGTCAATAAGAGTATGGGGACAAAAAGAAATCGTCTTATTGCTAGCGCTCTCGAGCGCTAGTAACTACGTTAGTCCAAATTCCTTGAATACGCATGCTCAGCCGCCATGGTCGTGCATTCTGGGAAAACTGTGGAAAATTAAAACAGATAGACCGTATGATAACAATTTCGATGTATCGTGTTGTAGCTTGAAATAACTGTTTATTAATTGTGTAACTTACACTTTAAAGATAACTTCATATTTGTAATATTTCAAATTCGGGGGGGGGGGGGGGTTGCTGACGGAAAAGCCCGAGTCATTATCTGATTGTTCTAAACAATGGGAGGTTTTTTTTTTCATCTAAGCATAATCAAAGATAGATTCTGATTTCTGATTGGTCAATTCAGCCAATCTTACAAATTCCAGAAACAGAAGCAAGAATTTACACTAAAAATAACGAATAAATCCACTATTTGTTTTTAGAAAATTCTGATGTGTATGACTGATTGATTGATTGTATACTGTTTAACGTCCCTCTCCCGAATATTTCACTGATATGGAGAAAGGTGAAAGGCTGCAAATTTAGGCCTATGCTCGGCACTTACGGCGTTTGAGCAGGGAGGGATCTTTAACCTGCACACCTGCTGTGACAGGGGGCCTCGGTTTATACGGTCTCATCCGAAGGACCGCCCCATTTAGTCGCCTTTTACGACAAGCAAGGTGGTACTGAGGACCTATTCTAACCCGGATCCCCACGGGGTTTTAACCTAACATATCTTGACAAAGATGACCCAAAGGACCAATTAAGCTACTTCACATGCGTTTCAAACTCTCTGGACTTTTTACACGACATACACTTTGAGTTATTTTCTATATTACTTTCAGTTCCCATGTATTTTCTTTGCTACATTGCCAAGAAATTTTCTTCTATAAATCATATCATACATGCAATGTCTCAATCGGCATCTTTTTCATATTATATAGCCCCCCCCCCCCCCTCAAGTAAATGTCATATATGTTTTGTTGCGCCAAAACTCCAATAGGCCACCCCCCCCCCCCCTATTTCTTAACCTTTATGTCTATATTAATAAAATACGCCTCACAGAAAAATTATAACTTTATCACACTCCAGCCTCGATGAAAATTAAAGAATTCAGCAAAATAAATCACTTTATCACGGACCTTCTTTTCTGTGTAAAAAAAATGCTACGGCGCTAGCTCAACTATCTTTTTTAAAAGATAAACTTGTATGATATCACGTGCACGGTTGAATACATCATTTTTTTATTGACATGATTACTAAGGTTTTATTAGATAACATAGATAACATATGTGATAAGATACCCCAAAAGTTTAATCCTACTATGATATTTCTGATTTCTTCAGTGGAGAAACTCAAATGAAAACACACCATATGATGACA